AAAGTAAGTGGAAAAGAAAATGGCTGAGCATTTTACAAACCTCATGGAAGTGTCGAGGATAGAGAAGGTTACAGAATAAGTAGCATAAGTAGGATCTATGGTCTTCAGAAAAGAGAATTCAGTGAAATGTTAAAACAACTCTCGGAAGTGTCGAGGATAGAGAAGGTTACAGAATAAGTAGCATAAGTAGGATCTATGGTCTTCAGAAAAGAGAATTCAGTGAAATGTTAAAACAACTGGACCAAAAAAGAGGAAAAAGTAATTGACCTTCAAAAGAAGTGACTGTAGTAAAAACAGGTGCTTGACTAGGACACAGAGCAGAGACATAAACTTTTCATAAATAAAGAAAAAAAAGAAATAAATTTTGCTGATAAGAAAATATGTGCAGTGATATATCTATACACTTTCCTTTACTTCAATCAATAAATATTTTTGTAAATGAAAAGCATTTGACATTTTTTTCTCATTTTTACAGGCTGAAAATCAGTATTGAGTCTTGTCCTTGGTTTGGCTTCTGAAGAAGGCCTCAAGTGACGGCATCATCACTGGAGTATGTGTGAGATGGATCGCTTAGTGACACTGAAAGCCAGAGGGGACTCAGAGTTCTGGCTTGTTCTTTTTTAATGAATCAGTCTCTAAGGAAATAAACAGGTCCCAGAGAACTTGATTCATCTAGGCTGAGAGCAGCACCCAGACACATAACTCTGTCCCACCAGAGTCCCTACCTCTGAGAGGTCCCAACACCTCTCAAACCAAAACTATGGGAACCAAGACAGGCATTTGCCAGTTGGATTAATTACAGGATTCCTACATGTTAGTGGTTTATAAAAATTAATGCTCATAAGAGGACACAAGCACACATGGTTATGATTCTCTCACAGGCATTTTATTTGAATTTTATAACTTTGATTCAGCATGGATGGCAATAAAGGGGTCTTCAGCAGAGTTACTAATGGAAAATTGAGCCCTGCCATCACCAGAAACCTGGATTTTAATTCCTGAGCAGTTGCCGTTCACTTTATCTCCAGAAATGACATCACAATATGTGCCAGCAGGTAGCCCAGTTTGCAAATTTGCAGACAGTGACCTGGAAAGTACAACGGATTATTTAAGTCAAATTCAACTCTGACAAATATAAGACATGAACAACTATGTGCCATAAAACTCTAGTAATCTCAAAAAAAGGTCTCAAAAGGAGAAAACTCAGCTCTCCAGTGCATGGGAAGACCTTCCTCAGAAAGAAATGTGATCTTAGATAAGACCTAGCAAATCCTTGGTCTGTATGGAGCTGAATATGAGGTGAGATTAAAGCACAACAAGGAAGGGAGATTGAAGAATACAAGGGAATGCACACAGAAATTGCCTCCCTTTCATAAAAGTAGTAACTATGGCAATCACAATTATGCTAAATATGTCCTTTTCTGCAAAAAACAAAACACTGTTTACCTTTATGGATTTCAATAAAATTATTTCTTCGAAAACATTGACTCTCTTCAAAATCCAAAAGAATTTGGGCAAGAATACCAATGATGTGGCAAGTCTACCAAAATGTACATGCTTTGAAATAAATGGCTGTATTGCATGAATTTATTTTTGTTCACCCATGGAGAAGAGAAAAATTAAAGAACTAGGCATGGGATATTTTGTCCAAAAGAAAATGGGGGAGGGATGCACTTGGCTTATTTAATCATTGTTTGCTTATAAATTCTAACTTAGTCTGAAAGGGATAAACATGTGTTGAAGGTGGCTTTGGACTAAGATATACAAATTACTTTCGAAGAGAGCTGTGGATTTATTGGTGTATATGAAGGAAGTATTAAAATAGAAGAACGAATATATTTATCTCAGAGGGAAGAACAACACTAGGGAACTTTAGAGCCAAAATCCCAAAATCTCCTGAGAAAAAATCATTGACATTGAGATATGTGGAATAAAAATAATTCCAGAGAGACAGAATGTGAAGAGCGCAGAACAGAAGAGAACACAGAGGAATAGCTGGAACACAGAGCTGGGAAGTAAGGGGCATTCCAGTCCTGAGACTCCCTGTAGACGCGCACAACACGAGGACAGGACAGCTAACAAAAAACCTCCCCCTGAGAAAGAAAACTATTGTAAAATACTGGAACAAAGTAAGAGTCATCATTTTCTTCTGTACCTTTCTCACTTTAGTGTTTCCTTTATCCGTAGACTACAGATTTTGCAATTGTGATGAAAAATCAGTGAATAAAAAAAAAAAACCCAAGAGCAGGATAAAGTAAAATATTAATTTTAATTGGCATCTACTCACCTGTCATCGTTGTTAATGACAATGAATGCTCTGTTTCCTCTTCCAAAAGCTACTTGGTTGCTCCCATTATCCCACCAGTTGGAGAAAGGCTGGCCATCAGCTACATTTCGGAAGGCAACCATGTTCCTAAAAGCACAAACAATACTCTGGTTTCTCTTCAGATCGTATAAATCTTTCGCCTTTTACTAAAAGCACGAACATATGACATGCACATATTCTTTGCCTTCACTGTTGACAATAAAATCTTTAGCATTAGAAAATATCCCCACCTTATTTGACGCCAGCGATGTTCACAGACCCAGCCATTGCCGCAAGTGGTGTCTGCATTAATAGTCACCGGTTTAGTTGCTCCATTGTTATTCGGTGGCCCGATCCAGTCATTTACGTCCTTCATTATGATAACAAGAGCTCAGTTTGGAAGCATCCTCACTTGCCCCTTCTTTCTCCTTTGTCCCAAACCTAATCAGTCCTAATACTTGTGTCTCCACGATATCTTTGTTTTCCATGTTTTCATAGTTTTTGCTGAGTTTTTTTCATTTCTTTGGATTCTTTCTCACTAGTGTCATATTTCAACAAGCATAAAAGATTTATTCTCTCATTTTCTCTACAAGCAATGGGTTCTCAATGTCATTATTTAGTGTCTTCAACAACAAGAACTATAGCAGCAGTAAAGCAGGATGAAAACCTGGCCTCAAGACTGCTAGCTAACAAGTCACTCAATTATGTACATAGGTATGTCTGCCTCAGTTTTCTCTTTTGTAAAAAGAGATATTACATACTATAAAAGCATAATACTGTATATGAAAATATCTCAAATACAATAATTGCAAAATTAAAATTAGTTGACTTTATGCAAATTGTACATGTAAATAGTAAGCACCTCATCATAACCCCAGCAGTAAATGGATTAAAACATTGATATTGTGTTTTCCTCTGACTGGTACCACTTTTAAATATGGTACTCCAAAAAACAGTGTAAATCTAGGAGGTGTATCACTGCAGAATCACATTATATGATGAATAATATACCCTTAAACACATACGTGATGAATAATACCAAGTGTCTCACTCTTATATGAAAATGTTAAATGCTGCTTTCCTTTCATTGAGCAAGAGATGTTTTGAACAGCTCCAAAACTTACTTTTCCATTCTGAAAGTTTCGGTCCCAACGGTAGCTTGACATTACTCGTGCAAATCCATAAGGATGAGCAAGCATAAATCCCACAGCCATTTTATACATCCTGAAAATCACAAAACGATATGGTAGGAATAGAACTTTTGCCCTCCTTAAATGGTAGATGGATAAGGTGGGGAACGTTGTTTCCTACCTAGCGTCCCAGAATGTCAGAATAGAGGCTCCTCCCGCTCCGTGACCTCGCTGATTGTCATGGTTATCCACAAAGACAAGGGCTCTGTCAGAAGGCACCAAGCCCCAACCTTCTCCCCAGTTCCTGTGTGTAAAAATAGTGTGCACAGGTATAATATTTAAACAAGTGTATGCATCTTTATATATGCCTGAGAATATGTATTCTCTGTAAACTTTTCTATATAGCATCCTCAGATAAATCTTCTCAGTAAGTGGTCCTTTTATAAGACTTTGTAACCTATGTAGAATGACAGGATTCAGTTTATGGCAACGTAAGTGGACTTCAGAAGGATAAGCATTCATAGCCCATTACAGAGCATAGCACAGCAGGCTAAACTGAGGCTTCAGTACACTATCATAATAAATATATTTTAATATCTGAAATTGATTCATTTCATATGTATAAATGCGAGATTAAGGTCATAATTTAGGTACTTGTTCAAAGTTAGTCATTTAAACCAATCAATCTGATTTCACTCATTATAGTTAAACTATTACTGAAACCTAGAGCACTCATACAATACAGAGAATAAAACCTCTAGAAGACTTGTTCTGTTTGTACACCGTCGCTTTTAATGCACAAGCTGAAATAAAACAGATAGCTAATTGCTTCGGAGAAACCTCACACTTAGCATTAATAAACAAAACCTTGGTTACTGTACAAATAACAAGGCTGTAAGAGCATTACCTAGTTTGGGGAAATATCACAAATAGACCAGTGGAGAAAACTGAAGCGGCAGGTAATGCTTTACTCACTTTAAGTAAGACAACTTCTCTCCATTCCACTTGCGTACAACTGTGCCTAGTTTTGCACCATACTTGAATTCAGTGACACGGCCATTTCCAAAGTATTCACTACTTTTAATTGCTTCACCTCCCAGATCAATTACCTAGTTGATACACAGAGGGAAAAGTCATTTTACACTTGCAGTAAAATATGTTTAAATGCCGGACATGGTGGCACATGCCTATATTCACAGCACTTTGGAGGCTGAGGCAGGAGGATCGCTGTGAGTTGGAGACCAGCCTGGGCTACATAGTGAGTTCCAGAATTCCTCCATAGCGGGGACACCTCAAATGCAAGGCAAGTGCTCTCCTCTTTGGGTGGAGCTGAACACTATGAGTAGGAGAAAGTGTTTGTATGAAGTTGTTTTTTTTTGTTTTTAATATCTAAGCAGTTAAAGCTAGTGAGCAGTTTTCCTAAGGAATCTAAACCAGTACCCAGTATGATATTCAATATTCTATTTGTGAATAATTAAAGGAATATATAGTTTTGGTTCTGATCATTATTTTAAAAAAATTTACCTGGTTCGCATCATTATAGTTACTAATTTCTCCATTACATTTATTGTCATTAAAATCATAACTAGAGTATGGGACTGCTTTAAACTCTCTATTGCCAGGATTGTAGTAGCTTCCACAAGTACTGCTTGTTCCTGCAGGATTGCCTGAGCCGCACATGTGGTTAATCACAGCATCCACATAAATTCGGACCTGAAAAACAAGTTGTCTTCTTCAGTTTCACTCCATGTGGAAATATAAATCACTATTTCATGTTAAGAAAATTCCAAAATACTTCTTTGTAATTTCATAACTGGAATTTCCTAGTCAACCAGACTCAGGTGTGAAAGTAAGCTAATGTTAAAAGAACCACATTGATTCTAAACACTTGGCCATCTTATACATAAATGATAAACTGCGAGAATGGAAGAGTCCTATAACTCTGAAGAAGTGAAAAGAACCATTTCTGAGAAGTTAAGAATTAACTAAAACAGGAGAAATTGTGTGTTTTCAAAATTTCAACAAGAATTCCCAGAATAAAACAGTTAATCCCTTCTCTCTACCTAGCAAGTCTTTCAGAGCTACTTATTAAGCAGAAGTGATTGAGAAGAAATCTCGAGCTTATAAATGGATCCATAAGTCACATGCAAAAGACAGCAGCTATTGTAACTGAACCAAAGATTATTGATAGAAAGAAAATATGGGTGTAAGCCTTAAGAGTGGGTATGTTTCCCTTGTCATTCTTCTTATATAGTAAACTGCCTCATGTGTATATATTAATGGTATATATGCAGAGAGATTGACAAGCAATGAACATAACATTATGGATTTTGCATTAAAAGTATTTTGCATTAACATAAAAGAAATTAAAATTTTTTAAATATTGAAATATGGCCACCTTTAAAACAACAACAACAACAACAAAAAAAAAGAAAACCTAGGATGAATGAGAAAAACTGTATTCCTAGGAAACATTTTATTTATTTATTTATTTATTTATTTTTGCACAGGGGACCGAATTTGGGTCCTTGCCCTTGTGAGGCAGGCGCCAGAACAACTGAGCTAAATCCCTGGCCATCTATGAAACATTTTTAAAGGAATTTAACTTCACTTACGCCGACATTGTTGCACCTGGTCACCATGTCTTTGAATTCACCTTCATTTCCAGATCTTGTGCATAATTTATAGCTGACTGGTTGGTACCTTTCCCACCAAGGTCGATATGGGTTGTTAATTACAACATTTTCATTGGGTGGAGAGACCTGCAAAAAGAAAGTACCTCAGTAAGACCCAACTTATGATTTATTCTATATTGATACATACTATAAAACTACTAACTACTCAAATTTGTTTCTGAATCTGTCTACATATAGCTATGTTGCTTAATAACCGGGCGAATAATTTAAGGGCACATTAGACATGTCCGGAAACAGCAAAAATTTGCCGGAATTCTAAATTTTTTCTTTCTCATGAAATCTTTGCACAGTCCTTGCATCAAGTAGAATGTTGTTCTAAATCACTGATAAGGATTCATATACCATTTACTATAAGCTCAGTAAACTCTGCAGTACATGCTGTGGACAACACTTACCTGAACACCTCCAAATCCTTTGGGACCTAAGTATCTCTCACATTCCGCAGCAATGTCCGCCCAGCGCCACTCGAACAGGTGCACAATGGATGTGCGTCCCTGCTGTGTGTTTGGGGAATACTGAGCCCAGCACAGCCCAATGGCTGAGAGCAACAGAAGGAACTTCATCTTGCGGTGAAGTTGTCAGGCTTCTTTCTAGCAACCATTTATAGTCCTGAGAAAGAGCACGTTACATAAAGTAAATGTTAATGAATAAATAAAATAAATATTTAAAGAACAATTTTATTCTTTATCTGGAAAAGATTAACAATCATAAGGTTAACAGCTGAAAAACATGTTCCAACCCTCACAGCAAAATAATCAAAATGGTCTTTTAGCATTTAATGGTTTTTCTGTCAAAGGAATACTAACATTTTCAAACATCTGGGATAGGATATGTACAAACAGACTTTATTCACATGTTATTTCAGTAGTATTGGATAGTACATATTTATGACATCTTGCACTAATTGGGAAAATCACAATGAAAGCCTTCTGTATTCACATGATGAAACACTAAAATAATTCCTATATGCTTTCCTTCTTAACGTAATGCAATTTTGTAAAGGATTAATAGTGTAAGTGGAGTAATACTTTATATACCCATTAAACAAGTATTGATTGATTATCCTTTTTTGCCTATGACAAAAGGTGCTATAGAGAATAAATAACAATCAAAATAGCTTCTTTTTCTAAAAGAGCTGACATTGTAGTGAGGGACCACAAAATAGGCAAGTATAACAGTAATACTAAAGAGGACAGAGACATGATCTTCTGTTATTTTGACATTAGAAAAGGAAAGCAGCAGAGGAATATTAGATACAAGGAGCACTGAGAATGAAGGATCATTACTGGGATGAACCAGGGCCCAGAAATGTCTACAAGACATTAGTGTGATATTTTCACAAGAGATTTCTTCCGTGTGACAATACGGATCAGTAGTCCTGGAGTGTAGTCTTGGAGTAGTTTCCCCCACGTTCCGTCTTTTGTGTTCCACCTCCTGTTTTGGTCAAACTGGTACTTATGATAAGACCATGTGAAGAGGGCAGGAAGAGCTGCACGCTGTACTGTACATGGACTACAGGCCCAGCCAGAGTGAAGGCCTAGGAGCGCCCATGTCTATTCACCTGGTGGAGATGCCTGTCTTTCTGGAGCCTGTGTGATTATCTTTTGTGTTCTTAAAAAAATGAGTACAGTTGTCCATTCTTTTATCTGCTTTCTGCTGATATACGGACACTCACAATGCCTACCTTTGGAGGTGGTAAAAATTTCTCATTGCCTGATCTTTAGGACACAACACTGGCAGTTTGGACACTTAGTCTGATTGGGTTGAAATGCAAGACACAGCAACACCTTGACTTGCAACTGCTGAAGACCAGAAGACAAATCTTAGTAGCAAATAAAATAAGACAGGGTCCAAAATTCAAACGTAGTAGAGTGGTGACTAAAAACTCAAAAGATAGTAGAGCCTAGACAAATTTAGATAGAATTTAGCAAAATGTATTATAAATAATCTCTGCCTATGTATATGAAGCCATTTGCCTTCCTCTCACAGCTCATTCATATTAACTTCTACTTGCATTGAGCTGTTTTCCGCATACATCCTGAGGAGTTATAAAGTAAACAAACTGATCCCTATTCTTCCATAAATATACTAATAACTTTCGTTATCAATCACAGAATTTGTCAAGTAACATAGTGATAGTTAGTTGTACACTAACTAAAACATTCCTCCGTGGGCCAGGCCTGGCTGCACTTTAAGAGCCAATCAAGTAATCTGGGTCTATGTGATGGGGTCAGAAGTATGATCTGTAACTTTTCCTGTTTTTTCAAGAGCCTAGTGCTACTTCATGGTAAGTGACGCTGCCCTAGGGAGTGAGGGATGTGAATGCCCCCATGACTCCTGCAAAATCCGTCTCCAAGCATGCCCATATAATTTGGTATGGGGCCACTGTGTTGCATAATATTATCATTTTTTCAAAGATTCCATGTCCATGATACAATCTCTTACAAAGTGTTAGTCATTGTTGAGCCCAAAATTTAAGAGAGAGAGTGTTTGAAGTCTTTTCAGTGTGTCTAAAAGGAATTCAGCATCCAATACTTGCATCCATCCACAGAAGGGTTGGGGTAATTGAGCATTGTTAGAGTTAAACTATGCAAGATGCCCGGAAGTGGAGAGTAATTAAGAATCCAGCCTTTACTTTGCAGACTTAGAGGCATTTGTGGTGACTGACTCCAGAGAACCTAAATATACAGAGACTAAAGTAGACAACCAAAGTCAGTTTAGTCTGTGAAAATAACACTTAGCAATAGAATATTTACATCAGCCCTTTCATCCCATAGGCAGAGCTGCAGAGATAAGCAATGCTTCAGCACAGTGATACTTGAATGCACATCAAAATAATGTGATGGAAGCATGCGGAGAAGGTTAAAGAATATATTCTGAGATGAACTTGCTGGAGTGAGATTCCGGACCTCTCTTAGATCACAATTTTTCCTTTTTATTGTTCATCAACATTATACTCTACCTCAAAACCCACCTGAATTTTGTTCATCCATCCTGTTACTATGTAAAGTGAAACAATAACCATATTCATTTTTTTCAGTTTTATTATTATTTGTACATGTTTCCAGTACATGTCGATTAGGATTCTTGTGGGGAGTTTGTACATGCACATAACACATCTTCCAAATATTGGTTAGGTGAGTAAGCCAGAGAACTCATTATACCGATAGCCAACATTTTAGTCACTACACACTTGTATTAACATACATGACAGTTTTTATATAATGTCTTCTCTTGTTGCAAGAAAGTGTTCTTTAGGACTTATGTTACAACGACTGTGCTCGGTGGGCAAGAAAAGTGCAGGGAGTCCTGGCCCACAAGTGTTTGAGTCATAAGATTAAATTGCCACTGATATGGTTGGAGAAGGCTAGAAATCATCATCCTTTTCTCCTTGAACACCATGGCTTCTGGTGCCTTTCCATGAGTACTTCCTCCAACAGGTGGTACAGTGTCTACAGTCCTTTCTCAGATCCAGTCTAGCTCTTCAGGCAGGTGTCACTTCAAGCAGCATATTCTTGTATTGAATAAATTTAATAAAATTACCAAGTTTTATTTATTGTTACATTTAAAAACTCATGCAAAAATTGCAAATTTTCATTATCCCATATTCAAGTAATTAGACTGGTAAGTAGTTAAACACCAATTCTACTTCAAAGAATATTTTAATTTGTAATATATCAATAATAGGTCCCTTTTGTCCAGTTTCAATTTATTTAATGATCAAAACACTAAAAGGAGACATTCCATTTGACCCAGCTATTCTCCTTGATATTTTCCCGAAAGATGTGAAGTCATCATACTTCAGTGATATCTGTTTACCCATGTTATTGCAGGATGATTCATATGAGCTAAATCTTGCAAGTGTTCTACATGTTAATCAACAGGTGAATGAAGATAATAGAGTATTTATACTCAGAGAATGACATTGTATCATAAAAAATAATCAACTTGAGGCATTTGTCAGAAAATGGATGAACCTTCAGAGTATAATGATAAGGGAAATAAATCAGACACATAAGCTTAAATTTTTCATGGTTTTTCTTAGCAGAGAAACATAAAATACACTAAAGAGCCAATATAAGGTATATAATGAAAGTGGGGAACTAAGTGAAATAAATAAGTCACCCATGTGTAAATACCGAATAGTTTCTCTGGTGTGAATAAACTTTAATAATACATAAGATCCTAATGAGATAATTGACAATGTGAAATAGGAAGAAAAGGACTAAAAGTGTAGGGAAAGTGGGACGGGTAGGGGAAAGGAAATAAGGAAAAAGAAAAAAAAGAGAAAATGAAAAATGGATATAAAGTGTTTGTAAATGGGGAGTAGAGGAGGGGATGAAGGGAGGGCAGGGACAAGGGGAAAAAATGAGAACCAAGACCTGTCATGTAAAGGTACAAGATCCCAATAATGAATGTAACTGTATTGTATACCTAAAATTTACCAATAAACTCAATGAGCAGAAAAAAAGTATATGTGATGTTTATACATAATGGAATACTACTCTGTCACAAAGAAGGATAAACTTGAGTAATCTGTTGGAAAATTGGTGTACTTTGAGATAATCATCTTAGTTAAAATAAATGTGACACACACACTTAAATATCACTTTTCTTTTATATGAGAAGTCTAATGTAAAATAAAATGCAAAGTAAAAGAAAAACAGTGGGGGGAAATAGTGAGAAAAAAGTTATTGTAATTCATCATGGCCAATGTATCTATCAGTGTACCTTAATTTAGTATAATTGTTTTGTATGTTTATATGCTTTTCTCCTTTTAGTGTAGCTACTAATCTGTGTTCATGATAACTTGATGATGACCTATAACTTAAATAAATCAAATGCTAGCTCTAAAACAAGTAAATAAATAAAATTCTATGGCTTTCATAAAATACATCCTATCAGTGACGCTTTGATATAGTTAATGTTACTCATATTCCTGTAAGATACATGCATTTCTAATATTATACTTGTGTGTTCTTGAAAATAGACGATAAAAAATCAAGTAATACAGGATTTTTTTAGGTCTTCCACTTTCCTACATTTTAGACTAGTGTTCTGCTGGCCTATGTCATCTGGGGCCAACCTAAATTCACGATCAAGCAGAATACCTGTCCTACCTAATGGAAAACACTCTCTCTCTCTCTCTCTCTCTCTCTCTTTCTCTTTCTCTCTCTCTCTCACCACACACACACACACACGCACACACACACCTGCCCCACCATTATTTTTGTGAACAGACCATGATTCCCTGCTGAACTTCTTTAATTACCTGAGTAGTAGAAAACCTGCTCTGGCATTATAGCTGCTTCCAGGTTTTCCTAGAGCCTCCTGAAAGAATGCAAACCCACTTGTGTCTCTCACAACAAGTCAGAAAGAGAAAAAATTCACAATGGTTAGGTTTTACTAAAAAAAAAAAAAAATCACTACAAATTCCTTAAATATGTTGGGCATATTGAGGACTTGTAAGTAACTAATACTCCAACTTTGTAGAGTTTACATGGTTAAACAAAGTCAAAGTCTAGACACGTTTCTTTGTACATAATAACTGCAACATGTATATTGCATTAGATATTTTCAAACACCTGA